CAATAAAGCATACTCGAAATCCATAATTTTCAATTGTAATCTTTTATATTACTTTCCATTCTTAATTCTATTCTGATTATTCTATTATTAATATATAATAATCATATCCACATGATACAACTCTATTTTATTATTAATTCAAACTCAAACCTAATACAGATTAAGAGTATTCCTTTATTGCTTATTAGCACAACCATTAATTCTTATTTATCCAAAATTTTATAGTGTTATCACCACTCCCTGATATTATTAGATCTTCATTAGTATTTATGATTAAACATTAGATACTATTATTATGTCCATTTAATATTTATTTAAAACTCCATTAATTATTTTATTTACAATTCCATATTATTATCGAATGATCACAACTCCCAGATATAAACTTTTAAATTTCTGCATGAAGTTTAAAGTTTATACCCAATCCTTATGTTATTTTAAAGTTTAAATTTTTTTGATCATTCCTTAGTTGAATTCAAATAATTTAATTAGTGACTCATATCCAACCAGCAATGTTGAACAACCTTTATCAATAGCTATTGCACGACACAAATCACTTTATTAAATTGAACATTCTTGGATTAGTTAATAATTGAAAGGTTTGACATTCGACTAATTAATAAATTAATCAGTTTATAATGGTTGAATATTCGTCTTAGTATTTAAAGATGATATTTCTTAATTCATAATTTTTATATTGGTTTGTAATTATTAATCATTTTCTGTATATTTCTTAGAACCTAATTCTAAACTCAACAAGTGTTACTTACATTAATTATATGCATCAAATTAATTAAATTATTATAATTTAGGATTCAATTTTGAAGTCCAACAGAGATTGATTTTCTAAATTTCATGGATATATAAATCGGAATCAGGTTAATTTGACTTCATAACCATAATTTCTAATTCCTCTAAAAAACTAAATTGAGAATATTATTATCTTTGTTATTATAGATTCTGAATCCATCCAATAATTATAGTAATCAATTATTCTAATTATTACATTAGATATGATTTCATTTAATCAAAAATACTATGTAATGATTCAATTAATTTAATTTAATTCGTTATGATAGTTTCCACTTTTTCCATCTTTTTAATTTAATTCTCTTCTATTAATTATATCATTTTCTTTAATCCAACTGCTTTGCCATCTATGTCTGCATTTTCTAAACGTTCTGTGCATAAGAGTCTCTAATTCCTTGATAATTTTGAATCAAGTGCTATTGTAACGACTGGTAGCTTATGTCCTTTATAGCAGCAAAAATCTTTTTCATTTTCTATCATTATTGGTTTTTCATTAAATTCAATAATAAAATAAATTGAGAATTAATTCACTTTTATATTGCCTATTGCTATCTCATAGCCATCAAGTAAAGGATTTGCTGCCTTTTTATTCCTTTTTTAAACAATATTGTTTTAAAAGTCGAGCTCATAAATAAGAATTTTTTTCAGATATTTTTTTGAAATAATAAGCAAAAAGTTTATTAGGGCATAGTTCTTTGCAATTAATTCTATTTTGTAAAACAATTATTTCCTACAATATTATGTTATTG